CAGATAAGAACATTGCAAAGGAATGCTGAGCAGCTCCCATATTGTATATCGTGTGCCTCGTGTGTGCTATCATAGAATGGTGGAGGTTGGAAGGGACCTCTAGAAATCATCTAGTCCAACTGCCCTGCTCCAGCAGGGACACCCAGAGCACGGGGCACAGGGTGGCATCCAGGCAGGTTTGGAAGATCTCCAGAGGAGACTCCACAGCCTCCCTGGGCAGCCTGTGCCAGGGCTCTGTCACCCTCACAGACCAAGCTTTCCACAGCTACATGCTACACTACTTTCAATCTTCCCAGAAGTTTTAAAAAACACCAAAAGCCAAAAAAATACTTACACAYAGCAATTTGGCAAGGGTAAAATGAAGTAAGTTTCCTAGCTCAGATGCACAGCATGCCCCAAGACTTCTGCAGCAAGAATGAAAGCTTCACTGATGAGAATAAACACTAGCTGATRTCTCCACGGTATAGTACATTTCTAACGACTTGCTTCCTAATTTACAAGTAGCAAGTTTGATAGCACTCCTGACCATTGCTAAATGCATTAAAGAAATGGCTGTTCCATTTAATCTCTTTGAAAATAAAAGGCAAAACCCTTTAGAAGTTTGCCACTGTGCAACTGTGCACTGTGCACTGTGCCACTGTGCAACTGTGCAAACATCTGCACCTGCGCAGCTCTACAATTCAGGATTATAATGCCAGTTTGTAATGCAACAGGCAGCACAACAGGGAGAGAAATAATCTTACAGAATCCCTTTGTAAGTCCTCTTCCACCAAAGAGCTGAGAAATTCCTCATCTGAATACTGCTGAAAATACTTTTTACCAGATTGCATTATTTTTCAGTAGCTTATTACAAAAAGGACAAAGAAATAGTCATGTAACTTTGGAATGTATAGGAGCATCACGCGTGAATGCAGATACCAAGCCAAACTCTCCTTCCCTACACTTGGCAGAGTATGAACCACAGGCAGAGAAAATAACCAAAAATACTCTCACCAAAACATAAGTTATCTGATTATATTTATAGAGAAGCTCATCAACTGTTTACTGCATTCATCAATAGAGTATAGAATGTAATTTATGTGGAGCATGGAAAAATTTAATTCAATAGTTGCTCTCTTCTGCCATGAAATAACATAGTAACTKGGGGTCTTTACAAATATTTTAAGTTTCTGTAATTGGAGAAAAACCCACAAACACAAGAATTTCTTATGATAGTAACACAATGCTATCCATGTCCAATTCAAATGTGCTCTTGTGTCTATGTCAAACCATTTCAATGGACTCACAACAGCTCACAAAGCAGAAGCACATCAGGCTTCCCTGGGCGAAATCAAACAGCAACCTTTTAATTATCATTCAGCAAAAAAGCAGACATCCCTATGTGTTTGCTCAGCATTCACTTGAAAGCAAGCAAATCCAACTGTGCTGACAACAGCACCACAAGCAGAATACCTGCAAAACTTGAACAGTATAGCTCTTAAATGTATGCTCCATTTCTGCTCAGCCTGTAAGCTGTTAACTAACATTACGCTAAACATGAGAATGTGTGGGATTCGCGGTGATAAGACAAAGCTTTTAGACGTAGAAAAAAGTAGCTTGACATAAGTGAGGCTTAGCTTAGCATGAGTAAATGAACTTTGGATTTCCCAGAGAGAAGAAGCGACCGCTGGGAAGAATACCAGCTGTAGACTTTCACRGAGGAGGAACCAGAATCAGGCGTACTGCCTAGGAATGCAAGGACAAATGCTCGTGCAGGATGCCTGTTATCAGTAGAGTCAAAACCACAGATGTATCTGTGACAAATTAGGAGAGTAACTGTGCATTGTACAAAATGATATAAAAGAGTGATGATTAGAATAAAGTGTTGGCATTAGCAGCATTCATATCGGATGCTTATGCTTTGTCCGAAGCTTCGCCAGGTGCCGCAACAAGAATGACTCACTTTTCCCTGCAAAACACCATATACTTCCTCTGAGGCTGACATCAAACTGRTCCTAGCTTTATGAGTAGTCGAAGTATAAAATATTTGTCTTTACAAAACAGATGAAGATGTATCTATTTTTCTGAATTTTTACTAGCAAAATCAGTAAGCATTCCTGACAATAATCTTTACAATTGATTAGAGSTTTATCTTGACTGTTATCTCAAAGTGGAAGCTTTGTTGCAGAGAAAMTTATATTTAAACCTTTGCTGAAGTTAAACTCAAGGAAGTGGGCAAAAAAGTACAGTATTTCAGCACCAACACAAATGGCTTTAAATACTTGCTAGCCCCTAAATTAAATTCACTCTCTCTAGAGAGGAATCAATTTAAAAAATATATTTGTATATTGAAATTCCCAAGCAGAAATGCAAAAATAAATAATAAACATAACCAATGGTAGTTTTCATGTGCTCACTGTTTCSTTACAGTGGTGGCAAGGGCATAATAAAAGTGCCCGAGTATTCTGCTGTGTTCACTGCTGAATGTATGAGCATCCCCTTTTCACTGCAGAGCAGGGACTCCCAAGGTCTCCACATCATGCCTGTTAGCTCTTCACTTGGCCTCTGTTGGGGCAGACAAGGGCTTAGGCAAATACTTGCAGGCATTACCTCTCTGMCCAAGGCATCTCACACAGAAGGAAATAGCCTGTTCTGCTGCAATGCATGAAGGCTAATAAATGCGTATTTACATTTCAAGTGCATCTTACTGATAAGATTATGTGTCATAAATACATTGTGTGCTACATGGTTGCTTCACTACCCTGCAAGAAAAAGCCATATTAAAAAAGGCAAGAAGGAGGACCCGGGCACCTTCAGGCAGCTGAGCCTCACCTCCAACCCTGGAAAAGTGATGGAACAGCTCATCCTGGCTGCTATCTCCAGACACGTGGAGGAGAAGAAGGTGCTCAGGAGTAGCCAGCATGGATTCACCAAGGGGAAATCCTGCTTGACTAACCTGATC